TGAGATTCGGGGAACCGCTCCTGATAGGAACGGGCCTGGATGAGAAAGCAAGAAAAGAGCTGCTGAACAAGCTAGTGGAGCTGAGGAACGCACGATCGAAGACTAGAAAAGAGAAATGTGAGGACAGCTCTACTCTGAAACAAAAAACTGTGGATAAAATGGTTGATGATATAAAAAGGGATAAGGTTGGGACTAGTAATATGATTAAAAGTACTAATATCCTTAAGGCTCGAGCAGGGGGGAGGCAAGAGTTGGAAGGAGTGGATGGAGAGGTCGAATCAATGATGATAGCCACTACACCCTCGAGCAGAGATGTGAAGACTCGCAAGAGGAAGAGAGAAGTGGAAGGATGGGGTAGTCCTTCAGTGGATGCTGTTTCGGAAGGAAACTTGAGAGAGACGGCGCCCATCGTTTTGGCCCGATGCAAGACGGCGGCATACAAGAACAGCTCGGAGCTCAGGAAACCACTTGAAGTAGAAAAGGAAATAGAGGTTTCCACCAGTTCGACGTCAGAAGAAGAATTCAAGCCTCAGAAGGTAAACGTGAAGAGAGGTTCAACGAACGGACAGGTAGGGGAAGTGGAGATCGGCAAAGAATGGATCTCGAAGGCACATCAGGACATGGGCAAACAAGTGACGAGTGATCCATTGGAGAGGAACAAGACGAGGAACACTTCCCGGACGTGGTGGGTGGCCCTCGAAACATTGAAGGAAATGGAGGACTGCTTGAAGAAGTTGGACAGTGGAATAGCTCGCAGGCGACGCAATTGGGCCACCCAGCAAAAAGCCGAGGTTAATAAAATAGAGATGGCATGTCATCTGAAGAGGTCCTGGCAGAGTTTGTTGAAGGATCATTTTGAAGAGGCGATGAGGACATCCTCATCAGCACCGCCACTAATGGCGAATCCCTTCGTTAGAACTGCGGGACAATTAATGTTCACCTGGAGTCTGGTGGGAATAGAGTTGGAGACATTGACCTCGTATGACAGGCTGAAGTTGGGAAGCAAGAAGCTAGAGGTGTATCAGGCACTGATGCAACACGTGGCCAGGGACAATTCAGACTTGAGCCTGGCTAGAAGAAAAGATGCCACATGTTTCTTGAGATAGACAATGTCAATGATGTCTGATAGCACCATCCTGGCATGCCACCAGAGAGCAAGTGGAAGTAAAACCATGGAGAGAAGAGTCTCAACGATCATCTTGAACGTATATCAGAGTACAGGAATAGAGAAAGAAGATGGTTCCAGACTATCCTTAGAGAACCATCGAAAGCTGGACGAGGTACGGAGGTTCTCTAATAAGAAGTTCGAGGAAGAACATGATGTTCACCGTAACCTGGCCTCGTCAGAACAGTACTCGAGACTCAGTGAGAAGGGGGAATACCAATATGTGTCTGGAGTGATGGGAATAGCCTACAATCCCTTCTTAGACTCGGAAGCTGGAGGAGCCCACAGAAACCATGAGGTAGCGGAGCTACTGAAGTTTTGGACAGAAAGAATAATGGAAATAGACGCGGTGGAAAAAGAGGGGCCGAGCCTGGGCCTGATTCTTGAGAAAACACCAGAGGTGATAAGCATACCGCGCTCAAACAAGAGAGTTGAAGTGAACATGGGCGGTGGAAATGGCTTGTTAACCACGAACTTGGGAGTGATATGGAAGCTACTAAGACCCTCCTGGTGTCCACATCCCCATGCAAGTCTAATCGAGGAAACCACAGAGCGAGTGAGGTTAGCACCAACGGAAGATGAAGATCTGGCGAAGTTGAGTGTGCTACATAAGCTAATCACGCCCCAGATGCAAGAGCCAAGCGAAAGGACGAGCGACCCGGGGTCAGCAAAGAAATTGGAGCCGGGTAGCTGTCTGGATTCGACGTGTGGGAACGGAGAGCACATCTGCGATGGACGGTCATGCGTCAGAATACTGTCGTTTCAAAAAGAAGACCTGGTCACTTGGTTCGAAGACATCACAGAAAGGGAGAAAAGTGAAGTGCAAATAATAGCGGAATGTTACGCGAGAACCACGGTGAATATAGCGACAGCTCTCGGATTCTTCTCGAGAATGTGTGGTCTGCAGGCACTGGAGAGACTGGAGTCTGAACATCATTTAGTGACGGCGTTGAGCGTAGAATCATGGCCCGGGGTGTTGCAGGTGACTCAAAAACACATCCGGAGCTGGAAGGTTGGTCTTGAGGCGGAAATGGGATTTCCCATGAGCGAAGCTTATGGCTTGCCATTGAACGCGAAATCGCTGATAGGGTCAATGATGGCCAACTTGTGCGGAAGTCACTACCCGCTACACATGGCGATGGTGGAAGTGTCCAGCCAGAGAATACTGGTGGACAAGGCCTTCTCAGTGCCCAAGTGCGTGAGGTTGGCTCGGATGTCGCATCACTCGCACAGGTTGTTGAGAAAAATCAAAGGGACAGTACCAAAAGAATTGAGAGATGACTTAAGCGAAATCTGGGGAGAAGATCTTCTGAAGTTGGAAAGAGAAAACACGAGCGATCACGAGAGACAAAACGTGATCGGGAAACCTGTGGGAAGTACTCCGAACCTGGAAGACAACGACACGATGCACGAGAAAATGATGGAGCTTGAGCCTCTCTTGGAAGCCTCAGGGGAGCGTAATCTCAGGAGCATTGAGATCTCTCATGGGGAATGCCCATGCCACTGTTTGGCACAAACGGTGTGGTATCCAGATCACAAGAACCTTTGCCTGGTGTGGGATGTGGAAGAGATTCGGTCGATCGGACTACCGGATCACCGGCAGAAGGTGACGCTCTTAGTAGTGAGTACGATGTTAGCTCTGAGATGGATAGAAGAGAATATAACGAAGTATCGGGAGGCGACGAAGCCAACGGCTGAGTCAATATACGCGATAGACTACAGCAGGAGACTCGAGTTGTTTGAGACTGCGTGCAAAGTATTCGCCATACCGACGGAAGTCAGGCACGTATGGAGTCGCTTGAGGTACTTTCCATGGTTTCGGGCGACACTGACGTCTTGGTTGTACATGACAACGAAAGATCACATGAGAAAACATCAAAAAGAGTATCGACAGTTCCAGGCCGAGATTGGGCCGGAAGCTTTCAAGAGACCCCTGCTAACCCATCGTAATGCGATCACGACGGGATGGAAAAGAGTGGGGAAGATGTCTAGAGACAATACCAAAGCGAGGGAGTCGATACTAGAGGAAGACCTGGCGAAGAACGTGAGCTTGAGCCTGCACAACTCCTTTTGCTTGAACCGAGAAGCTAGGGTGAAGGCACTACCCAACCAAGCAAAGAGATTGCAGGAGCAGAGAGAATGGATGCGATCCTATGAACAGCTGAAGGCTTGGGAGGAGATTGTGATTAGTCCCGATGATGAAGAGGAACTGTTGAGACAGTTTGCCGCATCTAGCACTTCAGGATGCAGTACCTCCAAGGCGAAGAGTACGAGATGAATGGGCAAATCGGATGGATCTTGAGTCTTGAGAGGGAAGGGGGGCTTGAGCGTGGATCCGAGTGAAACTTGGATTCACGAAAAAGAAATTTTAACAAAAGCAAATATTGTTACTAATATACTATATTTATTATATAAATCGAAATGCTGCATGACAATTTCCTGATTGAATAGGACAAAAGAGATTTTAAAATGATTGGCTTGAAAAGCGAAAATTCAAGGGTGCAGGTGTATGCAGATTTTGGTTGCTGTTTAGCAATAGCGTGAAAATTTTAAATGGCTGTGAATTTTGGGGTGTAGATAAGCTTAAATCTGCTGCAAACTTCTGTAAATGACCACTGGCACTGTATCTTGAGCAACACTCGGTTTTTCTGGGACTCACTGGCAGAAGACAGCGCGCGACGAGGACATCGATCTCGAGTCCGGGGAGTATGTGCCAGTCGGTCATATTTGGAAGTTTGACCTTGAGAGAAGAAAAAAACACTTGATTTTGGAGTGAAATTTAATTTTTCAAAATTTCGAATGGAACCTGTCATGCACGATTTTCTCGCGAGAACTGAAAATCAGAAAAAGAGATCAGAACAATTTCAGAACAGTTGAATAACAATCGCGGGAAAGTTGCTAGAAAAATCGGTGGGAAATTGCTATTCGCAATTTCAATAGCAATAATAGCCTAGAGTAGAGCTGTCCCATCTGAAACAGAGACGAGAGCATTCCCACGAATTGGATTGTTACGATTGGAATACTATTATTGACTGGACTAGAGTGAACCTTCGGTGGAAAGGTGGACAGCTTGAGTGTCCCAATGGTTCACGAGAACTTGCAGTCTAGAGTAAAAACTTGTTCTTGTTGTTAAAACTGACTAACATTAAACTCATATTAGTTACTTTATTAATTCTTGAGTTGTTTACCGACTTATTTACTTCCTGGTTCTTGAGCGTGCTACAATGTGAGTACTTAATTTAAATTCCTAGAGTGTGTTTTATAATTGTGATGTTGAGGTAAGGCGAGTTTTAGGTTGATCCATCTGAAATGGATCAAAGTTCCACTGTCTAATAAAAAGTAACTTAACGGATTGTTCCAACCCGGTTTTTAACGGCGTTCATGTATTTTGGGTATCTAGAGACCTAAGTATGGGGACGTTTCTAATTCTAGAGTGGGGGGGATATTTTAGTAGTAGCCTTTAAGCTGTAACGGGTCGTAGTCTCATGTCACAAGCGAACCGAACTGGCTCCGACCGTTCTTGAGGTAGAAAAACACAAGAGATGGTGTCCCTGACCCTTGAGCCAGTGGTTATAGGGCCTATTTTTCTTAAGCCTCATGTGTGACTGCAGTAGACGAATGTTACAGCTGAATCTGCATTTTGGTCCATTCTGGTCGAATGTCACGCAATTTAATATTTTCAACGATTGATTTTTGGCTTTGAGCGATTAGAAATTTTTCGGCTATCCGGGAACAACTTTTTTTCTGTCTATCCCGGAACGAATTTATGTTTCGGCTATCAGGATATTCGGCTCCGTGAGACTTCAATTTCTGAAATTGTTTTGGTTTAAGGTTTAAATGATGCACTCATATTTTCATTCATGTAAATCTTTGAGTTAATCGAGCTCAGCGCACTGTATTTACAATGGCGTTCAGTCCGTTAATCGGGGCTCGGATGAATCTGATCACCAAAGCTGAGGTCAGATATGAAGGCATCCTTGAACATATTGACGAAGAGGGCGATACAGTGACGTTGTCGAACGTACAATGTTTTGGAACTGAGAAACGGCGACTGGATCAGATCCTGCCTGCCAGCGATAAAGTTCATGAATATCTAACTTTTCGGAGGTCCCAGATAAAGGAACTATCAAAATGCGACATACCAGAGTTATTTGACCCAGCAATTGTTCAATCTGGACCACCGCCATCGAAAAGTCCCCACATGCGAGCCAAAGCGGGAGGCGAGCCGAAGTTAACGCCCAAAATTGATATAGGTGATAAATTTTTTACTCAAGCTAAGACTTGACTTCTTACCTTGATTTCATATCTAATTTGATCGATTTAATATCTAATAGACTGAAGTATTGTAAATTTATTTCAAGCAGCCCAGAATTTCCATGCTGGACCTATGATGCGAGCATCGTCTGCGGTCGAACAATCTAATGTGCTTGTTGGCCATCCCATGAACGGCAACGGACAACCAACCAGCTCAGTCAATAATTCCGAATCAAGTTTCAATAACCTGCACATAAGTGGTAAGTTCTTAACAAAGAATTTATATAAATAAGATTTACGTAACAAAATTTTGAAATATTTCTGACCTTACGATTTTAAATTGGCAGTGAAATTGAAATCTGTTTTATTTTTACACCAGCGTCATTGTTCATTAAGTGTGTTCACTTATTTGGAAGTTAAAAGTGTTCACTTATTTGGAAATTCACTGTAGCATTGAAAATTGCATAGCTATCTGTGCTCTGCTATATTTGTTTCAATTTTTATCTACTAATTTTTATCTACTATCTATTAAGAAGATTCCGTGGCTGAGTGGTTAGCGTGTGTGAGTTGTAATCTCTCGAGGTCACAGGTTCGAATCTCAGTCCTCGCCGAAATGTTGCTAATTCGAGACTTATTTATACTTTTTCTTATTTTACTCCATAAAGCGGCTTTTTGTCGTGTTCTCACTAGTGTTTGAGAAGCAAAGTTTCTTTCGGCCACTA